ACCTTCTCCGGTCCTCTGTTGCACCTGGCATGATCCTTACCTTTTTTTGATCATGAAGATGGAAACAGTAACATTTCTAAACAGTAATCCTTTCTCTTAAAATAAGTAGAAAATCACATAAGCTAATATTCTCACTATCAGGTGTACATCTAAAGGAATTGGGATAAGTATGTAGGAGAGAAATCTGCACTCTATGTTGTAGCAGTATGCACATAAAGCCAAAAAATGGTCATCTTTGTGTTCATCAGTTGGTGAATGGATAAGAATGTAATGTATATGAATAGTGGGATACCTATTTGCCCATGAAAAGTGAAATATTGTCATTTCAGACTCATGGGTGCTACTGAAGGAAAATATGTTAAATGAAATAAGCCAGGCATAGAAAGACATCTATTATAATTGCACTTATATACGTAATCTAAAAAGTAGATGGCCTAAAAGTAGACAGTAGACATCCTCAGATGATGGAGATGGAAGGTATTAGGAAGGTTATAAAGGGATTAGTAAAATAAATAAAATTTACAGATGGATGTAAGAAATTTTAATGGTCTGTTGAATAGTAGGATGATGAAAATCAATGAATTGTAGGTTTAAAAATATTTAGAAAAAAATTTTCACTATAAAGAATCCATAAGCATTTGAAAGAATGGATTACTATGATATATCAACTGTCCTGATTTGATTGCTGCACAAAGTACATGTGTATTGAAATTTCACAATGTAGCCCATACATTTGCACTTTTACTATATGAATTAACATGGAATTATCTTTTTGATCAACTGAATTGATATATGTAAATAACAAGGCAGTGCTTTCAGAGTAGATATTCAAATAAATGTTACTTGTAATGATTTTTATCTCTGGTAAAATCTGGTAGCATTTAGAGTGTTAACCATTGTACTTTTGAAAAGTTTTCCATATTTTATGAAGGTATACATTTTTCTTCTTCCTAGAATTATATGATGACCTTTTGAAAATACAGAACACATCTACCCTGTTGAAATGAACTGTAGAGTATACAAGATATATATTGACATAAATCCAAACAGCTTGCTATGCTTATAAAAAATCACTGGACATTCTATAAAAAATTCTAGCATAATAACATGTCTCTAATTAAGGCTAATTAATGGGAAGGAAACTTGGAATTAGAATAATTGTAAAGAAAACCAATTTTATTTTTTCAAATGCGTATAATGTGTAAAAGTAGGCTAAGAAAAAATGTTGCCAATAGGTATACAAAAGTATCTTACTATGTTAAGTTAGAAAAATATTCTTAATTTGAACATCAGTTGTTTCTATGACTAGTGGGGAAATATTTTAGGAAACTTGAATGAATTTTTATTTTATTTTACGTAGCTCTCTTAGATTTTACAGTATTAACTTCATAAAACAAAAGTGAGTTTGAAGACCAATAAAGAACTGCGTAGCCTCACCTGTGATCCTTGATGCACTAAGCAGTGAACCAACAAAACCACATAAAAAGCATGATTAAAGGTGCACTAAGATTAGAGACTCTGATACTTAAACAGAAGTTTATGTTGAGTGATTTTTTTTTCCTGTGGTCATGAAAAAAAATACTCAAAAAAAAAAAGATAAGGAAAAGTGTTGTGTATAAAGATTGCCATTGGCTCAGTTTTAGTTATTTGGGAATTGGCATTTTTATGTCATGTCACAGTCAGTGATTGTAGAGGATCTGTGCTGTCCTGCTACTCCATTGGCTTTCCTCAAGTGCTTCTGTAACTCGAATCTATGTGGAGGCATCAGGGTAAATAAGAAAGATCTTTGCTTGAATCATGAAACAAATGGGATAGCTTTACAGTTCTTCTATGGCCATTCTTGGTTTCACAGGTGGGCTCACCTGTGCCATTGTAGTGTCCCATGCTCTTGACTTTATGCTTGGTGCTTGCTTTCAGTATGTGTGTGTGTGTGTGTGTGTTGTAGCAAATTAAACAGGGATGATTTTTTCACCATGCAGTTACTGCAAGTTTTGTAGCATTTTGTGAAGGGGTTTCTCACTATAATTCCCTCTTTCCAGTTACTTCTCTTGGATCAAAACTATATCAGAAAAAAAGAAACTGTTTTCTGCCAAGGGCTATTGGATATTTATAACATCACTTATCCATACAACATTATCAGCTTAAAAATGAACCTGCTACAGACTTACTGAATTTCAACTGCTTTTTGTGGTTGCCTTGACAAGACCAGATCAATTGATTTCATAGGCCTTGTGCAGCCTGTAAGCGACATATTCCCCGTAGCTGTAGCTGTACTCTGCAAGCACTTTGTATTATCTGTGGTGGTTTTTTATATCCTGCATTGTGTGTGTGTGTGTGTGTGTGTGTGTGTGTGTGTGTGTGTGTGTGTATAATTTGTTTCATTGGAGCTACATTTCTCAGCTTATCCAGGTCACATCACAAAAGAACACATTTGTCAAGACAAGGTAGTCCAGAAGACAGTTGAGAGATATTGAAGATTTTAAATGTGGAGTGTGCTGATCAGATATATCTTAGTTACTGATCTATAGTGAGAAAATTCACATTTAAAACAGATGTGGAACCAGAGGACTACACAGAGTCTGTTGTAACCATGAAGGCAAATAGTGAGAGCATTTTACAGTGGCAATACAAAAACAAAGCCTTATAACTAACTACATATGCTGCAGAGTGAGACTTTGGGACAGTTTTTATAAAGTCTGTCCAGTTGAATGCTGAAGAGATAAAGCAGATGTAGTTGTATTATTTGTTTTCTCCTGTTGTGGGCATTTGGAGAGTGGGCATTTGGTGAGAGTTGATTCTATTTCCCTGTCCCACTTCCTCCCCATTTGCCTCTCTCTTTCTGCCTTTCAAATAAACACTTTTAACTTTTAGAAGAACTAATGTCTTCCTGCTTATTTTCACATTTCAAAATGAAGCCTTTCAAAACAGAAACAGAATCTGCAGGGCATCTCCATCTTAGACTCAACAGTGATCCCAAAAATAGTCTTAATATAAGCCAGGGCTGCAGCTTGTGCTCAGCGTGAGATTTTTAGATATTTTTAAAAGAACTTCTCTGAGCATTTATCCACCCTTGAATTCACTCAGAAGGCCCTAGGAAAAGGTTTAGAGAGGAAATGACTTATTGAGGAGGTAAGGGAAAACTCAGTAAGAGAGAGGCATAGTGAGGCAGTAAAATCAAAGCATCTACTGCAGCTTTATCCCACTTGGGAAACTCTGGAACCTTGTAGAACACATGCATCAAGGCTAAGCATGGATACACAGCTGATTAAGCCACTTCGAGGGATGTCCACATAATGCTTGGTGATAAAGTGCTGACTGCTCTCTTTCCAAACCAGCTTCCTGCTAATGCATCCTAGGAGGCAACTGGTGATAGCTAAAGTATTCAGGCCCCTTCAGCCACTCTATGCAGATAGTATTCCAGGCTCCTGGCTTGTGCCTGACTGCCCTGACTTTTGCAGGCATGTAAGGAGTGAACCAGCAGATGCAAGATCTCTAACTCTATCACTTGCTTTGCAAGTTGATGAAAGAACAAAAACAGTTATCAAAAACATGCAGCTGAACTAGCTCTCCAAGCATTAAAAAAATCTAGGTTATTCATATTCCAGTTCTAATCACCACTGGCTGGTTACAGGATGCTCCTAGGAGTGGAAGAGAACCATCAAGCCCCTGATATATCTAGTTTTCCACATAGGTGGCAAGCAAACTCTTGTGGCAACACAAAGTCTTTAGGCAAGGAAATACCCATACTGTTAATGGATATCTGGTTGATGAGCAGTGAAAGGGTGAAAGGTAAGGGTAAAAGGATTGGGTATTCTACTTACTATATTACATTCATTTTTTTTGTCCAGTGTCTAAACAGGGCTGGGCCAGGCTGAAGCTGGGAGGAAACAGCTCTACCATAACCTCCCATTTGGGTAGCAGAAACATAAGTACTTGAGCCATCATCTGTTGCATTCTAGGGTGGACATTATCCTGAATCTGGATAGACTGGATACAAAGTAGGGACTCTCAATGAACATTCTACTAGGTGATGCTTCCTCCTCAAATGGCATTTTATTTTTTGCATCATTTTATTATTATTATTTTATGATGTAGTTTCATAGGCCCTAGGATTTCCCTTACCCCTTCCCCTAATTCCCCTACCCAATTGAGTTCTCTCATGGTATTACAACAGCATAGTTCCTCATAAATAGTCATAAGTCCATCATTGTGGGCATCGCATTGTCATGACACAGCTAACAGTTTCACTGGGAGTCCATCCTCGATCTGGAAGTAGCGATGCACATTGCACCATATCCTCACATCTGGACATGGCAGTCTCCACTACACAGTCATTATAAATCTCCCCAAGTGAAAAACCACAAAACAAAATCAACAACAGGAAGAAAAACAGGAATTTACAATGCTGTGAAGTTAAAAAACATGACACTTGGATATGATAGTCTCCAATACACAGTTATTATACATCCCCTTAAATGAAAAACCACTGAAGAAAATCAACAACAGGGAGAAAAAATAAAAACTTACAATATCATGAAGTTAAATAACATGCTACTGAATGACTAATGTGTCACTGAAGAAATGAAAAAAGAAATGAAAAACCTTCTTGAAGAAAATGATGCTACTATATATGGATCTATGAATCATGGAAGAATGACATTTCAATAGCTGTGCCAAATGCCTGTAACATCTTTTAACAAATGATTCCTATTTGGTTCTAGTGATTAAGTGTAGAATTAAAATGTCGCATACATATTCTGAATATATTATGTTACATATTCTGATGTTCTAGATCATGTTTAGGAAAGTAGCTTAACAGAAATTTGTTTGCCATCTGAAAAAATTAAGGAACCTATAGTTCATCATCCCAAACATAACACCTATAAACACAATAAACCGTAATTTTTTAGCATGTGATATGAATGTGAGGCAATGCATGCATTTCAAATATCTTCCTCAAACTAACCTATATTGTATATTTGTTTTTCCTTTTATCACAGTTGAAAGAATTCAGAATCAGTGGGACGAAGTACAGGAACACCTTCAAAACCGGAGGCAGCAGTTGAGTGAGATGTTGAAGGATTCAATGCAATGGTTAGAAGCCAAAGAAGAAGCCGAGCAGGTCTTAGGACAAGCCAGGGCCAAGCTTGAGTCGTGGAAGGAGGGTCCATACACAGTGGATGCGGTCCAAAGGAAAATCACAGAAACCAAGGTTAGTATCATATATCTCTATCATTATTTTCTATGATACAGTTTTGTAGGTGGAGGGATTCTTTTCTTCCCTTTCCTTACCTCCCTCCCACTTTTTCCTTCCTGCCATTTTCCTCTGTATCATCATAGAACTGTAGTCCTTTAGTAACACAAATTTAACATTTTGTTATTTCAGTATGTCATGGCATTGTAAGCACAGACAAAGGTAGAAAAATTGGTATCATACTTTCAAGAAATTCTAACAGTTTTCATTGGGGGTCTTTTGTTTGGGGTGGACAACTACCGCAACATAACTCACTTCCAAGTATGCTAATCTCCATTATACAGTTCATCTATGAAAACATGTATTGGATTGTTTAACTATGTATTTATTTGTTTTGTATTATGCATGAAGGTTGCCTTATAGCAAAGAGAACAAATGATATTTGTTGTTTTGGGACTGACCTATATCACTGAGTCATATACCTCTGTTCAAAATATACTGGTTATACTGAAATAGGCAATTATACTACATTAAAATAGTTTAATAAATTAAAACTCAATGATTTTAATTTAAGTGTACTTAAAAGAATTATATTGAGCCTGACATGAACAACAAGCTTTTATATCTGAGATTAGAATAAATGATTGCTAACATTAAATTAATTTTAATAATATGCATATACTAAATAAATTTTTAGATTGCACTCTCTTTTAAGATCAACTTGTTGTAAATACTTACATTATAATTTACAATCAGTCAATCAGCATAATTTTTCTAAGAAATATAGCAGATCTTCTCTTGCTTGCCTTGTCTGAAGACATTGCATGAAAAAAAGAAGGCCTGGGTAGAAGAATTAGTCAGGGCTAAGTTATATTATCATTTTCTCTTCCGATTCTCTTTTCTCTAGCCAAACTAATTCTGCCCTTCTCTTTTGGTTTCTCTTTGCCCTAAAACTTCAAAAATTACCTGTCTAATGAATAGTCTAGAACACCTCAGAATAAAAGAAAAATAGGAAGGAAATAAAATGTGCTCAGCGACTATGCTTATTAAGCAGAATGTGTGGTGTATCAAATGCATTGAAATCCATTCCAATTGGATTTTTGTGATTTAATTTTGAAAACCATACATTCTTAGCTAGGGGAATGCATTTAGAGATTATATACATAGAAGTAAAAGGGTGAAAATTTGAGGAGATTGAGGACTTAATCAAATATTTTTCACAGATTTTTTAAACCTGGTAGAAAGGCATTTCGCCAAACAAATATCTGAATAGCAACTTAATTATGCCATCTGAGCTGGCCTCGGTTTCTAAATGAGTCATGATGGACTTCCACTAAGTACAATAAGAAGTGAACTCTGATGGACAGGCATTTGATGCGGTAGTTAAGATGCCTCTTGGAACCTCTACAAGTCATATTGAACTGATTGACTGCCAGTCCCAACTCCACTCCCAAATCCAGCTTCCCTACTAATGTGCACCTTGGGAGGCATCAGAGGATGGCTCAAGTAAATGAGTGCCTGTCACCCATATGTGAGACTGGGAGTGAGTTCCTGGCACCCAGCTTTAGCCTGGCTCAGTCTTTCTCTTATAAGTAAAAAAGCTCTTAAAAGAAATAAATTCTTAAATATTAATCATTTAGTATGATCAAGATTGATACCTTGACTATGTCTTAGAATGGTGGAGCTTGACAAGACCTTTTCAGGAATGTTTTCTCTACTGATCACTTGGGAATACATGCTTTTCCAATTTTGTGATATTGTCTCAAACCTGTGACTGCCCAAGGCTACTGCAAAAGAACAGAAGATATGGTCTGTCAAGGCACATGGTGCTATGACCAGACCTCAGAATTAGGTATATCACTTCCAAGGCATATCCTTGTTCCCAACTTAATTTGAGGAAGAATAAATTGAATTAGTGATCAGTTAGTCAATCTCTGTGATAGCTACACTTGGTCAAAGAACCAGAATGGCTTTGAGGACAAGCCTTATATTTATAATACATGAATTCTAGAGACCATACAGGATTTTACAGTCTTATCATTAGGTCTGTTGGGGGCAAATTCAGCATGGATAAAAACTTCATTCTCAGGATACTTAACATTTGTAATGTTTCAAATGGATGAGCATTGATGAAAGTAGAAGTTTCTAATGCTCAATTGGAGCTCTAAGTAAAACATCAAATTCATGTGGCTATTCTTAAAATCTATTATCTATAGAGTACTCAGTATGCTACACTGCTTCTGTTTCTTCTTCATAAATTTAGAATAATATCAGACTCACTTGACATGAATCGAAGTGCTTAACTGATGAGAAAAAATAGCATTTACATAAAGTGTGGGCTAGACCTTGAGTTACATGAGGAGAAGGAGTGATGAGAGGAATGTAGTAATAGATTTCATTAGGGCAGGAGGACACTGGAAGTTGGAAAATGAAAAATAACCTTAAGCTAATTCTAAAGTGATAGCGAGGATGATTACTGTGTAATAACTCTTGTAGGAACAAGAGGCTTCAAATAAAAGACAGAAAAATCTACAAAAAGGAATATCAAAGGAGGAAACAAAATGATTAGATTTGCAAAATACATGCGATGTCTTAAATACTTCAAACTAAATCATAATTGCTTATTCTCAAACTGTTGAGATAAAAATTGCTTTTGAATGGTCAAATTATTTTATCATAAAATGCACTATGTATAGACTCATATGTTTTTGTTTGTGTTCTGTATTTATTAATTTAGTAATATATATCATTGCACATTCAATGTGAATTCATAATACAGATTAAGATAACCAATGCTGTGATTGTCTCATCCATTTTCTGAATAATGCCTTCTAAAGTGAAAACTAATTGTGATGCTGGTAACAGCTAATATTTAAGGAATGCTTGCTCTATGTAAAAATGTGTGGTATTCACTCTGCATATGTTGGTTTACTTCCTCCTTACAAAAATCCTCTGAGGAAGTATTCTGTGCTCTCCCTGCCACCATACATTGCTTTTGAATTGCAGGTAAGAAAACTAGAAAGCTAGAGAGATTCAAAAACTCTGAAAATTGAAAGTAGTTCAATTGTGATGTGAACACGTAATAATTACTCGTGTACATGACCACATAAATTTCCTCTTCTATCCATTATCTATGTGTGTATAGCAAATAAAGAAAACAACATGTGGCTTTGAAAGAGAGGCAATGATAATTAATTGAGAAGTTAACGTTAATTATGTTACTAGTAAAATAAGTAGAAAATGAAATTGTATATTGGGGAAAAAGATATTATGTTCTACAAAAAAAGAATTGCAAAATGCATTCCATTTGTAATGAAACTATAATATCTAATTCCTCTAAAAGGAATCAAATAAAATAGTGCCATTACTTTGCTAACGAAAAGGCTAGACTATCACCTACCATTTTCTTTTTGAAAGGAGGTGTGAAAATGGAGGTAGATCTTGGAAAATATGACCAGTAACTGATTGTTCCGTAGCTTAGCAAGAGAATCCACAAGCCTTACAAGGCAGTCACTAGTCTGTGACTATAGAGTTGGAAATGGGATTAGAGCAGGCTGACCTGTCACTAGTGAACCACTGTGAAATACTGTCAGAGGAAACTACCAGCATTGTTGGACTTCCTTAAAATTGGAACCTGGCACTGACCTCAACATGAAGACACCAACAACTCTGATATACTAATAATTCACAATTGTAATCTTTATAACACCCTTCAGTTCTTATTTACAAGTATTTTAGTTGTCGTAATAATGTAGACAAAGCTTTTGATTCTAAATTTTCATCCTGTTATTGCAGAAATATTTATCAATGTTTATGCATAACTTAATGAGTTTCAATGTTTGTAACATTTTACTAAGACGCATCTTGCAGCATTTCCTTACTAGTTTGCCATTTAGAAAACCTTCTCCTCTGGGGGAAAAATTGTGGAAAGAACATGGGATAGTAATAACTCATTGACCGTATGTAAAGCAAATATCAGATGCTTTCTAGGAAAAGCCCTTCTTGAAAATTGGTTAGAGGAGAGGAAATAGCAATAAGGGAATTCTGATTAGATAAATGAACAGAGTGCAGATGGATTTTTGTGTTAATTACTAATGGGCAAATCATTAAGAGCTATCCATAAGATATTTGAATTTCTTTCTTTGCTATATAATCCTTAATTTTTCTGAAACAAAGACATGAAATTAGACAATGGTTGATTTTGTTAACTGCTTGATTGCATTTGATATTCTCCATGGACTTGGTACAACAGTAATGTTCTTTTGAGATAAAAAAGACAGATGTTAGGGAGAATCATGTAAGATTTCTATCCTAATCAAAATCCTTGCCAGTAGGCTATGACTGAATCCTATGAGAGAGAATGCTGTTTAGAACTTTCATAAGAGGCAGTAAGAGTGTGCCATTGGCACCTAAAACTGCCAAGCAATGATCATCATGAGATTTATTTCATTTGGCAGAGTCTTGGCTCAATTCACAACCTGTTCCCTAGACTATTAAGATTGGTACATGCTTGGCAATGAATTGTTTGGAAAAAATTATTTTTTGATCATTTTAAACTTTATTTTCCTGTGTCAAGAGATATTTGCCCATGCTCAGAGTTTTCATTTATTTTTTCCCCTTTCAGCCTTTGAAAGAGAAATTCCTTTGTTGTGTGTGCTTTGTGATTGCTTTTGTGTCAAATTCAGCATAAAAGCTTTTCAAACGTGACAGCATTAGTTGCTTTGTGCTTGGCTGAGCTAAGAGTACATGAATTCAATAGAGAAGTGAAATCTTGCTTAAGCCTAGCTGATTTGGCTATAAAATACTTAAAACTATCTGAAGCAAGAAATCCAATAATTTTCAAATTATTAAATAAACATTTCCAAGGTCCAAAAACCTCTGTTTTGAGGACATTTGTCAGGGAAGTTGAAACATAGATACATTGTACTCATGTAATTGTAAAACCTGTGTATGTCATATAAAGGAGTATTTCAAATGTTTTGGGGAAAAATTAATTAAAAGATATGGTTATTTTGGTG